GTTCGAGACCCGCCTGGGCAGCGAGACCTCATCTCTACAATAAATCAAAAAATCAGCCGGGTGTGGTAGCGCGCGCCTGTAGTTCCGGCTACTTGGAAGACTGAGGCGGAAGGATCGCTGGAGCCTGGCAGGTCGAGGCTGCAGTGGCCGGGAGCGGCCACTGCACTCCAGTCTGGGCGACAGAGTGAGACTCCAACTCAAAAAAAAAAAAAATTAGCTGACACAGTAGTGTGTGCCTGTAGTCGCAGCTACTTGAGAGGCTGATATGGGAGAATTGCTTGAGCCTAGGACTTCTAAGTTAGTGAACCAAGACTGTGCCATAGCACTCCAGCTTGGGCAACAGAAAGAGGCCCTGTCTCTAAAAATAAATAAAATTTGTAAATAAATAAACAAGAAAAGTATTCTGGACTAAAAGAGACTAGAGAAACATAATAACTAAATGTAACATATGAACATTAAGTAGGATCCTGATTTAAAAAAAAAAAAAAGATGTGAGGTACATTCAGGATTAGGTACACAAGTGCTCTTTTTTTTTTTTGAGTTGGAGTCTCACTCTGTCGCCCCAGACTGGAGTGCAGTGACCGCTCCCGGCCACCGCAGCCTCGACCTGCTGGGCTCCGGTGATCCTTCCGCCTCAGCCTTCTGAGTAGCCGGAATTACAGGCATGCGCTACCACGCCCGGCTGATTTTTTGATTTATTGTAGAGATGAGGTCTCGCTGCCCAGGCGGGTCTCGAACCCGCGGACTCATGCAATCCACTCACCTCAGCCTCCCAAAGGCGCGGGATTACAGGCTGAGCCACCGTTTTTTTTTTTTTTTGAGTAGGAGTCTTACTCAGAGTGCAGTGGCATGCTTATGGCCACCACAGCCTCAACCTGTGGGGCTCAGGTGATCCTTCTGCCTCAGCCTTCCAAGTAACTGGAACTACAGGCGCATGCCACCATGTCTGGCTAGTTTTTTATTTGTTTATTGTAGAGATCAGTTCTTGCCAGTTACCTAGGCTGGTCTCGAATCCCTGGGCTCAGGCAATCCTCTTGCCTCAGCATCCCAAAATACTAGGATTACAGGTTTGAGCCACCATGCCCGGCCACAAGTGGTCATCTTACAGGTAAAGTTTGGGTCTCTCTTTGGTCCTCACTTTGCCTGGTGTGAGATCAGGTACTCTTACTGGTGTTGTGTCCCCCTCCAGATCCTGATTTTTTAAAAGGATATATATACACAGGTATATGTGCATGTGTATGTGTGTGTAAACAGAGTTGGGCCCAGTAAGTCATTCCCAGAAAAACTGAAGCTCACTCACACACTCTCTCTCATATTAGAGAGCTTGTTTATTGACGGGTTCTTTCATCCAGGGATTCTCTTCACTTAAATAACAAATCTTTGAAATACTTGCACCCAGTGCTGGAATTATAGGCATGCGCCAGCACGCCTGGGTAATTTTTTGATTTACTGTAGAGATGAGGTCTTGCCAAGTTGCCCAGATTGGTCTCAAACCCGTGGGCTTAGGCAATCCTCTCACCTTCGCCTCCCAATGGCTCCTGTGTGGTATGTTCTGACATTTGATACTGACCAGGCCAGCAGGCCAGGTCAGATTATGTTACACATACACCTCCTTCACACATACAGTCACATTTCTTACTTTGCATGCTACTGTACAGAGTCTGTTTCTTACTTTGTGGGGTTCCAAGTCAATTTACAAACTCAAGAATAAGTCCTGTTATCTAACAGGTTGTTAAGAACAACAACAACAAAAAGACATTAAAAAAAACAGGCTCAGCTGGGCTCGGTGGCTCAGCCTGTAATCCCACGCCTTTGGGAGGCTGAGGTGAGTGGATT